AAATGTTTTTCCATATATATATATATATATATATAATGAATTTATTCAACAATCCGAAAACAATTTTTATTTTTTATTTTGATTATGTGATGCTATTCCATCTCAGCCCTATTAATAGGTCCTCTTTCCATGTTCTTCCTGCCCATACATACCTACTGTAATACTCACATTAGAAATTCAAACATAATAGCATATATTGATGGAATTTATTCAACAATCGGAAAACAAATTAATAAGTATTTGAGCAGTTGCAAAGCTCTGCTTATTTTGTTTTTGAAATAAAGTTTAGCGAGGCATCGTAAGCACATTATAGACTTAATCGCAAAAGGCTCAACGAGTTTTTTTTATAAATAAGTGGGAGGAGTACAGTGACATTGCATTGCCAGTTGTTGGCTAGACTTCGCAGTTTTGAAAAGAAATGATTGTTAAACAATCACGTAAGAGGATAAATTGTGTGTTACTTCTTTTGCTAATAGCAATTCCCAACCCTTAAACAGAATTAAAACATAACATATAAATTCAAGTTATTGTAGCGGAATAAAAAAAAGAAAAAGAGAAGAAAACACCGAATTTATCTTGGTTTGCTATCTATTCACTTGAGAGCTACATCTAGACTGATGTCGATCGTTTCACTATCATCACTCTTTGTTGTTATTGTGGGGTCCTGAAGCACAGGGAGATTTTACCCGTTGGTGTCAATTAGGTGGTCTGTGGACTTTTGTTGCTCTCCATGGCGCTTTCGGATTAATCGGTTTCATGTTACGTCAATTTGAGCTTGCTCGATCTGTTCAATTGCAAGTTTTCAATAGGTGCTTGAAAAATCACATTATATAGTAATCTTACAAGAATCTTGATCAATCTCAACCTATACGCCTATAGGATCACTCCAATCAACCAAAACGAATTATAGTAATCAGCCAACATTAAACAGATGTACGATAGCCTCCCCACGTTCAGTATTACAAAACCAATGAGAAAAAGATTGAGAAACGAGAGAGATATTGAACTTCTTCTCAAGGATATGCAAAATTAGCCTATATGGTGTCTTTTCTTTGATTTCTGAGTTCTAGTATTTTTCTGTTATCAATCTTTGTTCAAAACCCGTAAACATGTACTTATAGGTGCCCAATTAAGTTACTAGCCATTTATAACCGTTAAACATCTAATTATACGAATTACTTAATGTTTAAGTCACTTAAATCAGGGAGCAATCGATCACTTTTCGTGGGGTAATCAATTACTTCTTCAAAGCTATGAGGTAATTGATTATTGTTCATAAGGTAATCAATTACTTCTTCAAGCAGCCTAGGTAATCAATCACTTCATCTTAGTAATCGATTACTTCATATCATATTTACATTTTTACCAATTGAATTTCGATCTAAGTGTTTATTAGTGACTTCTAACATATGTATGATCATGTTTCACACTTGTATAACAATTTTCTATGTATGTGTGATCTTGTATATATGATCAAAATATGTATGTCATTTATGTACGAGTTTATGACTTAAAAATATTTTTTAAATGTCTTTATTTTTTAGTATATATCAATTGTGATGATAGTGGTAGTCACATAATATATTGGTAAAGTAGCGGAATATGATACGACACGAATTAAAAATACAAATCTTTAGTACTTGTGAATAATAGCAGGAACAACAGTTGCATACAGTGGCAAAAAAAAAAATTTAATTAGTTGCATACCAAAGAACAAATCTTTATACGGGACTCTCTTTTCTCAAATTGGTTCTTTTCCATTGTATGCAACTTATGTTTGTGTTATTATTCTCAAGTACTAAATATTTGTATTTTTAATTCGTGTCGTATCATATTCCTCTTCTTTACCAATACTTTTTTTTATAGACCCTCTTCTTTACCAATATATTATGTCACTACTATTATCATCTCAATTGATATATATTTTTTAAAAAATATACGCATTTTTTAAGTATATTTATTCTTGAATTTTAGGCATTATTGTTTAAAATATACCAAAAATATATATTTGTAAGTCCATAATTTTTGTCTTGATATCATCTGATATACCTTCTCCTTCACCCATGTTTGAAATAGGCTATGCATGCATAATACATAAGTGGAGTTTATAAATTATACAATTTTTTCTTGATAAATTAAATTTATAAAATCAGCAATATGTTTCTTAATAGGAAATTATTGTTTTTGAGTTAATTTCTAATTTCAACGTGAAATTAAATAAGCATTACGAAGTTTAGACAATTGTTGAGTTTGTCAAGTGCAGACGAGTGTGCATCATTACTAAGAAGGTTTCGTTGTACTTAGTGTTTTAAAACCCCACCCCATTTCTCGGGTTGACCCGGGTCAATCCTGACTCCTCTTTTTAGAGGGTTGAGGTCACAAGTTGGACCCTATATGCACATTGACCCCTCCGACCCCTAAAACCCGGCCGGGTTTCAGTGATTCTAGGGTCAGAGAGGTCAAAAAAGGTCACTGCATTCTTTTTTTTTTAAAAAAAATCCATGAAACAACGTCATTTTATTAAATAAAATAAAATAAAAATACTTGCAAACCTAAATCTAATCATTCTCTTTTCTCCTAACGACCTAGACGTCTTCAATCTTCACCTCGCTGCTATGAATCTGTAAGAATTTTACCATTCAAATGAAATCCTTACGATCGTCGATGGAAAACAAAAACTCATTCTTACTTCCTTTAAATTTTCCTTTGTCAGGGACCTTCTCAAAAGAGACAGAAACGGGTCAGCATAGTGATCCCATTAGAATATGAATTTTGTATTTTAGTATCTTGATGCTTTAATTAGGTTGTGTAATATTGACTTGTGGTTGTAATTAGTAAATTATGTTACGTATATTTTGAATCTTTAATGATTGGTGGTTTATTTTTAATATTTTTATATAGGATATATATTTATATATTTTTAATATATAAAATCGGGTCAGCGTAGTGATCCCGTGACCCCCGGTTGAACTTGAACCCGTAACCCCGTGACCCCTGGCCTCAGCCGGGTCCGACCCGGCTGAGTTTTTAAACACTGTTGTACTTATAAAGTATCTAATTTATATTTTTTTATTCTTTTATAATTATGTATTTCAAAAAATATATAGTTATAATATTAATTTATTTTTAATTTTTCAAATCAGCTAACAAATTCTAAAGAGAAAAAAATATAACTTTGATATTATAATTATGTACTCCTCAAAATATATAATTATAAAAAGATAAAAAGACATCACTTAAATTCTTTAAAAAGGAAAACTATTTTTCCTAATATTATCGGAGATAAAAAAAAAATAGAGTGAGGTACAACAACTTTATTTAATTTTTTTTTTGGTATCCGTGTGTATTACGTACGAACCTTGCAATTAGGAGTGTAAATGGGTCAGGTTAGGCCGGGCTTTGGCCTTCCTGGCCTAAGCCTACGTAAAAAAATATTCAGTCCTATCTGGCCTATTAGCCTATTAAAGGCTTTGTTTATAGGCCATGCCTGACCTATTTTTACAAAATAGAAATCTTGATATGGCCTACAGGTCTTGTAGGCCTCCTACTGCAGATACTGAGCAAAGAAAATAATTGTATAGAGCAAAGAAAGTTCCATTCATGCATGCACTATTACTTCTCATAAGAAAAAAATGACAAACAAGAGTCAATATAATACCTCAGCTTTATAATGTATATCAGAGGAGAATTAGAGTCAAAGAAATAGAGAAAATAAGAAAGAAATACAATTATGGGGTCAACCAAAAACGAAACTTAGAGACGAAAGTGAGAAGTCACTTAGAAGCTGCGGTGCACAAAAGAAATTAGAGTTGATAGTTTGCCACCTAAAATAAATATATTTTTATTTTTAAAAATTAAATAGGCCAACCTACAAGACTATACACTAGACTTGACAAAGTTAATTTATGACGTATTTGTTAGAAGACTTTCTTGCAAACCTAAATCTACTCTATTTCTAAAAAAAAAACCAGGCTAAACCAAACTCAATATAAGCCAAACTGTAAACCAGGTCAGGTTAGCCTGCCCTCATTTACATCCTTGCAATAAGCAGCATTGTGAAGAATTTTATTGTATAGGAGCAAAAACTTCATTGTATATATGACGCATGAGAGGAGATGATGTGGACACTAGTCCCGTAATAAATTCATAGGAAATTGATACCGAACCTGTCACCCATGAATCTGACCACCGCATTACTATGATAACACATATTAAATTTGCTCGGACAAAACTTTTATCAAAAGTTCTTAAGCTTTTGCTAAAAGTCTACCGAAGACCATTCAATGTGGGCCATAAATCAGTCCGAACAGGAGGTCTTCTTCGCCATCCACGTAAAGCAGGAAAAGCCCAAAGCCAATGGCAAAGAACAGTGAAGCTTCGTAGGAAGTCATTTGTTTGGTTCTCATGTATTAATATCTGAGTTTTTATTTGTCATTTAACATGATACAACAATTTTTTTACACACATAATATTTTGTGAGATTCACACTTTTTGAAGAAAAAAAGAGAAAAAATTATGACACACAAAACGAATCTCTATAACATTGCACAAGCACTTTTCCTACAACATAACTCTTATAAAATCCATTAAAATCTCATATTCTTATCTTTAAAAAATAAAAAAGTTAAAAAAAAGAAACATCAAGGAAGGCAATCAACTCAAGTCCGCGTTCCGTTTTGTTGTTACGAGCTTACGCGGAAAGCTCCCTGTATTGCGGAGAACAAAACTAAGAAGAAAACTAATAAGAAGTTCAGAAATATTCTATTCCTTGCTCATTCATGTACAGTATACTCTTATTTATAGAACTACCATTACATGAAAGCTTAACTACACCTAGAAACTAATCAGTAACTAACTCTTACAGTTATAATCACCTAAACCTCTCAATCCAATCATTCTACAGTAACATTCATTACACGTAACCGTTATTGACAAAATACACTTCAATATTTGTGAGTTGTTGACATTTGAGCTAATTGATTTGAGTAAAGTGAGCAATCATGGCAAGGCAAGAATCATTGTTGCCCTCTTCTTCCTTTAGCTATAGATGGAAATACGATGTGTTTCTGAGCTTCAGAGGAGAAGATACCCGTCACGGTTTCACTGGCAATCTTTACAAAGCTCTTCATGACAAGGGAATCCACACCTTCATTGATGATAAAGAGCTTCAAAGAGGAGAGGAAATCACACCATCACTTGACAATGCAATTAAAGAATCCAGGATTGCAATCCCAGTTTTCTCTAAGAACTACGCTTCTTCTTCATTTTGCTTAGAAGAACTTGTCTATATCTTTCGCTGCATCAAGGGAAAGGGTAGGTTGGTTTTGCCAGTTTTTTATGACGTTAAACCTTCACACGTGCGACATCAGACAGGTAGGTATAAAGAAGCACTCGCTATTCATGAAGAGAGGTTTAAGGATGACATGGAGAAGGTGGGAGAATGGAGGAAGGCTCTGCATCAAGCAGCTAACTTGTCTGGCTTTCATTTCAAAATTGGGTACTGTTTTATCTTCTTACGTTTTGTTTCTTTAATTTTCTTTTGTCTCTTATGATTTGGTATAATGTTAATATGAATAATTTATTATGACTTCACTCAATAATTGGGCAGGAAGGAGTACGAATATGAGTTTATTGAGAATATTGTTAAAGTGGTCTCCAACATGATTGATCGCGCTCGTCTACATGGTGTCAATCATCAAGTTGGATTGGAGTCTAAAGTGCTAGAAGTAGTCTCTCTTCTCTTTTGAAACTTAAATTTCTTCTGTTGATCGGTTTATCTTTTTCTTTTATTTGGCTCACCAAAATTTATTTTTTATGGGACAGCCTCGGATTATCACAGTAGTTCTGAGAGTTTACATGCATTGCGAAGCTTGTGTGCAGAAAATCAAGAAGTGCATAGAGAGAATGAAAGGTGTGTAACAAGTTCATTTTCTTTTTAGTTTCTTGAACCTTTCACTTCAGATTTGCATTTTCATTTGCTTCTCTTTTTCATGGAACTCAGGGTTTCTCATCTCTGGAGGAATCTATCAGTTTTATTCTATGATTCAGTTGTTTAAAATAATTTACAGTTTGATATATTCTCTTACATAAAAAAGAGATTATAAATTCCATTCCTTCCAAATCAAATTCATAAAATATTAAAGTTGTCATGTTCCAGTGAAAGTAGTCCAGTTTTTGTCACTTAAATGTCATTTAAAATTGCATTTACTGTTAAAAAAAGCCCATCATTCACGTCTCTAATTATAAGATATAATTACACAGGAGTAGTATCAGCGGAACCCGATCTGAAGAACTCGCAAGTGAGTGTGAAGGGAGTGTTTGAGCCTGCAAAGCTAGTGGAACACGTGTACAAGAAAACTGGGAAGAAAGCAGAGATCGTGAAGGAAGAACAGGAGAAAAAAGAGGAAGCAAAAGAAGGAAAAGATGAGAAGAAAGGTGAGGAAGTTGGGAAAGATGAGAAGGGTGGTGGTGATTCTGGTGAAGGAGAGGGAGAGGCCTGGGAAGAAAGCAGAGGAGAAGAACACGTGTACAAGAGTACTGGGAAGCAAGCAGTGATCGGGAAGGAAGAACCGGAAAAAAAAGAGGAAGCAAAAGAAGGCAAAGAAGAGAAGAAAGGTGAGGAAGTTGGGAAAGATGAGAAGGGTGGTGATGAAGGAGAGGGAGAGGAGAAGAAAGAAGCAGAGGGAGAGGCCAAAGCAGAGGAAGGAGCTGCAAAAGAAACAAAGGGGGTGGAGGTGAAGAAGTTTGTAAAATACTATTACAATTACAATTACAACCAAATAAGGTATCTCAAGGAATTCTATGCATTCCCTGGGTCAGCATACCCATATCTACATGAGACCTTCAGTGATGAGAACCCCAATGCTTGCTCTGTGATGTAAAAATGGAGGAATGTCAGGGGTAATATTACAATTTGCATTAAAACATCTCCAAGAGACCCTTCTTTTGGAAACAGTAGGAGAGAAGGATATTAAGTTAGCAAGTATACATATTGAAAATTACCAATTCAACTTACAAGATTAATGAATTCAATTCAGTAGTTTAATATGTTAGATTTTATATATTTTTAACATTTTCAATTTATTGGACTTAATGCAGGTATCCATTTACTAATGCTAATGGAGACTCTAATATTATATAAAGAATCAATTCAATTCAAAGTTTAAACTAGGAGGGGAGAGTATCTTACTGATTTTTATATATCCCTGTGAAAAGCATGCTCCACCGAATGAAAGTTTTTTTTGGTTTTGGATGGTGTTGACAAGGAGGCGCAAGTAGGTAAGCCTTGGTAGAGAATCAATGGGGCCTCGGAGATTGAGGAAAGGGATAGAGAGGCCCACAATTCTGCCGTTTGGGGAGCACTGAACGCCGCGCCATGCGGCGGTGCAAGCGTCGCTGCCGGTCCAGTTACTAACGAGATAGCCGTGTGCGTCTGTTTGGAGGCGGAACTGGGTGAGGGCGTGTGTGTCATTCTGGGGTGCACCATGTGTCAGAAATGGTACGATACATAGAAAGGCCAAGGCCAATGCCAATGCCAGGTTTATGGTATGGGAAGAAGGAAGGGGGGAATTGTTTCAGTATGGCAATGGCCAATGGATGTTGTCGCAAAAAGTGAGAAAATTGTTTCAGCTTTTTCCCCCTCAGCGTTAATAGTTATTGTTAACGCAAACGGGCTGATAAAAGCATAGGGTTCGAAGGCGAGATTGGCGCTCCAAATTTAAAAGGTTGTTGATATTTTACCAATTTACCTTTATAAATAGTGTAATATAAATTATTTGCCAAATATTGGGTTTGATTCACGTCATTAATCTTTTGCTTGCTAGGACTTGGATTCAATTATAAGACAACTCGTTACTATCTACCTTGTATGAATTAAACCCTAATTCATATTTTTCTTAAAAAAAAGTTATAAATATTTATTAAATGCTGATTTTACAATAATTTTTTAAAATAATTTAATAACCACGGTGCTTAGGACATTGCTTTTATCAGCAGTATCAGCAATAGGGTTCAGGACTAATTGCTTTTATCATTGGAAAATGGGGCGAAGAACAGAATCTGAGAGTATAACAACTTTCTGCCTAGATAAAAGCGAAAGCTGAAATTTTAGTCTCCAAGCAGTCTATTTGGCATTTTAGCTACATTTTGGCGTATCAAGCATGCACATATATGACAAACCAAGTGTCATAGTAACTTGAGCTGCTCTAAGGAGACATTTGGTACAAGAGAAAATTTTTTTTGTCCGGAAATCTCAATTTATAAGAATATAATTTTTACATTCAGTTTACGATAATATCCGTAAATTAAAAATTTTAAAAATTTTAATTTTTCAAGAATCTTACGGAAAACCTCGTACCAAACAGCTCATAAGAAATAGCTGTGCTTCGTGGCCCGACAAATAAATACGACTCTGAAAATAGAGAGTAGACCCAAAAACTGTCAGATTGGAAAGATAATTATTGATTTTTACTTAACATTTATTTATGCAACTGCCCTGGTTGAGCATGGATTGGGGAAAGAACAATTGAACAAAGATGGAAACCGGGCACAAAAGCATAATTAAGCATTGTAATTTGAGACCAAGGCCGAGGATTGCAGCAGTTTTTGCTGTCTTAGATTCTCAGTTTATTGAGTAGGTAGTTTGGCATGTGGTTAAATTTATCAATTGAGACGTTGATCTGATACGCATAACTGCAGTTTCAGAACTGTATTCTTTATTGGGAGGATCGATTAGACGAAATTCATGTAAGTACTAACTATTGGATGCATACTTCCATCTTCTTATGCTAAAACTAAACCATAACCATCAATGCGTCACGAATTCATGATTCACGGAGAAGATAAATTCCACACGGGTAAAGTCAGAACCTCAACAGTTTTATTGCCTAAACCTAGTTTGTTAATTATGGATGTATGATGAGAGCCCATACAGATGATTTCATGTACTTGACGATATGACCCATCATAACCAAGAAGTAGAGGATTGAGACCGGCGAAAGGTTTGTAAATTGTTAATATACATTCATCTGTACCTGAGTGCTCGCTCAACTATGTAGTGAAACAAGTTAAGATGTGGATGTATTGCTTGTGAAGTACATTCTGGTGATCTGGTATAGTAGCGGGTGTAAATGAATGAGAGTAATGAAAGAATTTACCTTTCCAGCATACAACTAGCATGTGTAAAAGTTAAAATAAGGGCCAAGTTATATGAATCAAGTAATTAGTGCCATGATCAAGGAAGAGAACATGAGAAAAATATTGCTAGCCACCTTAATGGGTTTATATAAACAGGGATGGTGAGATCAAAATCTGTGACCACACTTGGTCAGGGTCTATGATATCATGATACCGTGTTAATAACTACTTCACCTAAAAGCTCGTGTTATTAACTAAATAAGTTGGTTGTCACTGATATGCTGTAATCTGTGACCACATATGGTTCTGCATTCTGGTACCCCTTACCCAATGTTTTCTATACATCCCACTTCACTGCATTTATTGGCGTACTTTCAGAAAAAGGGGAAGATAACGGTGACTGAGGTGATTCCATGTGTGACAAGGACACTCTTAAGAAAACAATTGTGTGCTCGTGAATGCCATTCACGGTCTCTGATTTGCTGCTTTAGCAATGAAGAGTTGCTTAAAAATGAAGAAGGTTAATGAATGTTCAAAGGCCAATTGGCCTCACTGCTTCTATGGTCATCAAGAGGGTTCCCATCATATGAGGGCTTTTTGAGCTCAACATAGTCTCATCCCAAATGTTTAATAGTCCAAATTCGATTCGTGCTACTAATTGGGCAAGGTTTTAAACCTTAGGTACCATAGACATAGAATTATCTATATTTCATAACCACGTTAATAAAAGTGAAATTAAAGGCATTGCAACATATGTTAGAAGACATACTAAGGTCATGCCTGCGGAAAATATGATTACATTTTTTTTTCTGTCATTAATAATTGAGGATCATTTTAGTTTCAATTTGGGCTCTGTTTCGTTTTTCACATAGAATTGGTAGGAAAATCCCCTTAGAAGACAAATTAATCTTTGTGACCTCATCACTAATCATCATTATACTAGGCGTGTTTGGTGGGTGGATTTTTTTGAGAATGCAGAAAAATAGTAGATGAGATTTATAAATGACCATATTTGGTATGGAGTAGAGAAAATTTGCCTAGGAAAAAAATTTGATGGGAAAATTTTTAAAATGTAAAAATGAAGGAAAATGCCCACTTGGGAATATCACCTTGATGGTGGTATTTTGATTTCTCCAACAAATTCAAACTTGTAGCAATTTTATATCAAAAAAATTTCGATAATATTTCGACCTACCAAATAATTCTGAAAAAAATACTTTTTCACCTTTTCTACCATTTCCATAATAATGGTAATTTTTTTTTCTTCTACCAAAAACAAGAATCAAGAGTTTTAATGATGGGAAAAGTGTGTATCATTTTAAAGGATATAAAATTGTGTCATTTTAAGTGAGAGAAAAAATAAATATAAGAGGAAAGAGAATAGACAAAAAATATAAAGGTATGGGTCTTTATGAGAGTGAAATAACATAAATTATCTGAGGACAAATATTTTTGTCTTCAATGATATAACCCGATCTTACATTTTTTATTCTTTTCTCCACGTGGGTGCTAGAATGGATTTTCTCAAGAAAGAATGGTCAAAGTCGGTTGCTCCGCTTTCTAGATAATTGTAGTAGCTTCTTGTATTTTATCCATGGGAAAATTACTTCTTATGACACTGCAGAAGGAAAAACTTGCAGCAACACAGGATACGTGTTCGAATTCTGGTTTTTTTTTTATTTTTTTTTTATAGAATCCGCACGTGTATCCTAGGATCCGCACGTGTATCCTAGTGTTAAAAATTTGCTGCAACTTTTCTCATCAGCAGTCACATGAGAAGCGACGGACCCTTTATCCTTTACCCACTTTTAATACAAAGGGATATGTTATATTTATTACCTCTTTTTCTTACAATCTCTTACTATTAAATTTTAACTGTTGATTTTCGTCAATCTAACGGTTGTAATTTATGGGGTCATATTTATTAATTAATTATTAATTTCTAATAAATTATAATCGTTAGATTGACGGAAATCAACAGTTAAAATTTAGTAGTAAGAAGTAGTAAGAAAAATAGGTAGTAAGTATAACATTTCCCTAATACAAAACTTCTTCTCAATTATTCTTAATTTCTTTAAATTTCCAACAAATCCATAATAGAGCCTTTCGTGCCGCCAACTCACAAGTTGGGCTTTCTAAATTGGTAGGCTTTGTATCGTGTGAGCCTAGTAAAGATAGGTCTGATAGCTCAGACTCGGAAATCATGAAATAAATTTTTGGATTTTCAAAAAATCGAAAACCGATCTAATTTAATCCGAAAAAAATTGGATTGGATTGGATCAGATTTGAAACAAAATTCAAACCGAATGGATGATTATATTATCAAACTGAAGAGATTGGATCGGATGATTTTTGCTTTCAAAACCGATCCAATCCAGACCACGAAAACCCTTAACGCTATCCAATATATTTGTATTTATTGCATTTTATTTTATATTTTATTTTTTGTTTCTCCTTCTACATAATCTTATCAGATTGCTAATCTGGTGCTCATCAAACACAGGACATGATATAGGTTTATCAGCCCCATATCATATCTTACCCTTATCAGCCCCATATCATATCCTACCTTTATCCTATCCTGTTGTTGAAATATATAAAAATCATTAATGTAGCCTCACCCAACAGCTTAAGCTTTTGGGTTGAATTGGTTCTTTACATGGTATCAGAGCGTTCGAAATCTCATCGCCTCTCACTTTCTATATTTCTCAACACCTGTCCACCAAACAAGCCCTATAAGATCTAATAATATAAAGTCTCATTGTAAAAGATTTAATTTTCAATATTTGATATAATATTATATAAGATAATATATTGTATAAGATAATATCATCCAATATTTGATAATGCATTGTATAATACTATATAGGATAAAAATAAATATTTTTGACAAAAAATATCTTTTAATAAAAAATTTGTATAATTCTTTCAAATATGTCATATGATATTAATTTTTATAGAAATTTATTGTTCAATGTGTGTAAAAAATATATTATTTTTATAAAAAAATCATATATTTAAAATATTTATATATTGAATTTTTTTAATATATTATTATTAAAGTAATAGATTAATTTTTATGATATTAATTTTTATAGAAATTTATTGTTCAATGTGTGTAAAAAATATATTATTTTTATAAAAAAATCATATATTTAAAATATTTATATATTGAATTTTTTTTAATATATTAGTATTAAAGTAATAGATTAATTTTTGAGAATTGAACTAGTTAATACATCAACCGCTTATCAGATTCAGGCCTAATCCCATATCTCTAGACCTAATTAAGTTATACATCATTTTAATGTATAAAGGGATCCTGTTATATAAGTTTATACTATACGATGGTTACACAAAATAACTAAAATTATCATAATGTACGTATAATATAAATTTATGGCTTTATCGTTTCTAAAGTGAATGTAGATAAGTTATCTACATTTGCTCCCAAAACGATGTCGTTTTGGGTTAAAAAAATTAAAAAATTATAATGAAAAAGACTATTATAACCCTGAAATAAATTATAATTACAAAAATACATTGATTTCTGCTTCAAAACGACGTCGTTTTAGGCTCAATGTAGATAAGTTATTTACATTGACGGTAGAAAAAGCGAACCATAAATTTATACTATCAAACCTTATCCATCAAACCAAACAGAGCCTAAATAAGAGAGAACATGCAATTGCTGAAGATGTTAGTTAATTCCTCCAACCTCCACCCAATTGTAGCTGCTCCTTGTTTTCATCTGCTAAAAGATCAAAGCTCAACTAACATCACAAGCATTAAAATATACTATATAGTAAAGACCAAAGACCAAACATTTATATTTAAAATTAAATATATTTATATTTATATTATATAATTAAATGACTTGTTTACAACAAAAATTTATTCATAAGTTTTCACAAAACAATAAAGTCTTCGAGATTAAAATATTTGCACTTCATTTTCAAGTTTTAAATTTTCTTCAAATAATTTTTTTTATAACTTTTTGTGTCAAATATTCATTGAGTGTATATTGGGGAATCTAGCAAATATATGTAAAAATTAGATACACTAGATTTATTATTTCTTATATTATAGGAGATAAATTCATTTATTATATATATATAAAAGTGTATGCTCATATTTTATATGCATAGAAAATAAAAATATCTCTTATAATATAAGAAATATTAACCTCATAATTAAATGACTTGAGTACACACTTTCACAAAACAACAAAGTGTTAGAGATTAAAATATTTGTACTTCATTTTCACGTTCTATATTTTCTTGACTTTTTGTGTCAAATATTCGTCGAGTGTGTATTAGGGAATCTGGCATTCGATTCCAAATAGACATGAGTTAGTGGTGGGTCCAGTATATTATATAATAAAAGACGAAAATAAAATTTTAAAATTATACTAACTATTATAAATATTTTCAAGAAATACTAATAATTTATTATTATTAAAAAATATTATTTTATATATAAAATAAATAAATAAAAATTTAGGGAGTGGCATGAATCCCCGCCCCTCCCTTGCCCCACACCCCCTCGTGAGAATTAGATATATAGAAGAGAAAATAAGATTTGCAGACAAAGTTGCTTCTGAGAAAATGATGGTCTGGTTTTCAGATTATCCTCCACTGTTTCTCCTGCTCTCGTCTTTCCCTCTTCTCCTCTTCATCTACAGCTATCGCCGCCGCAAAATCTCAGCTTCCAACCGCCGCCTTCCGCCTGGACCACCGGGATGGCCAATATTCGGAAACATGTTCCAGCTGGGAGAGATGCCTCATCGCACCCTCACAAACCTAAGGGAAAAGTACGGTCCCGTCGTGTGGCTCCAAATAGGAGCCATAAACACCATGGTAATACTCTCTACCAAAGCTGCCACCGTTTTTTTCAAGAACCACGACCACAACTTCGCTGACCGAACCATAACACAAACCATGCGTGTACATAACTACGACAAGTCCTCCTTAGCCTTGGCTCCTTACGGCACCTACTGGCGCATCATGCGGCGCCTCGTAACCGTCGACATGCTTGTCACGAAACGCATAAACGACACCGCTTCCGTTCGGCGAAGATGCGTGGACGACATGCTGTCGTGGGTTGCAAAAGAAGCACGCGAGTTGGAAGACGGTCGTGGGGTTCACGTGGCGCGCTTCGTTTTTCTCATGACGTTTAACCTGTTGGGGAACCTGATGCTGTCGCGTGATTTGTTCGACCCGGAATCGAAAGACGGGTCGGAGTTTTTCACGGCGATGATGGGGCTGATGGAGTGGGGAGGGCACCCAAACGTGACGGACTTGTTCCCGTGGCTGCGGTGGTTGGACCCGCAGGGTCTCAAGAAAAAAATGGATAGGGATATGGGTATAGCTCTTGGAATCGCTTCCAGGTTCGTTAAAGAGCGGTTGGAGGAACAGCGTGACAACAATTCAAGGGACTTCTTGGATGTCTTGCTTGAGTTTCAAAACAGTGAGAGTCAGGAGGCACACAACATCTCAAATAAAGACCTCAACATTTTCATATTGGTACTAACCTTTACATTTTCAACTGATTTTAAGCATGTGTTTTGGGTTTTATGAATATAATGTTGAACGAGGATAAAACTTTTTGATGTGTCTGTAGTAAAAAATTTTGATGATGAAAGAAAAGAAAAAAAACAATCTTTTTATGTGTTGTAGTAAAAAAATTTTTTCTTCTCATGTATCATTATATAAGAAAAAGATATTTCTTGAAATCGGAAAAATATTTTCAATGCTACGATCCCACTAAAAAATGGCTATATTCTACTATGTATGAATCTATGATTGGTGTTACACAGTTTAGCAAATTTCAACGACACGTGAATATTATATTTTCATGTCAGATACTATGTAGAAAAGACATATGCATTGCCGATAATATATTTATTACAGTTATTGGTACATGGCAGACATAGAGGTGGCCGGCGGCCTGTACTATTAACGAATTAGTTTATTTCAGTTTACTTTATAGAGTGGATTAAAAAATTTGGCACATCAGTCCCAACCTATTTTATACAAGGGAAAAAAAACCAAAAAACTCAACCTAACGAGCTAAGGAGGTTGAACTAGTTTGTAAAACTCAGCTCGCCACTGGTAGCATTACAAATAAGCTTAGAAAAGGATGTGATTTTGAGATTTGAGAAAAAATATATAATATTTTTTTTTTCTTATAATATAAATTTTTATATGATTATACTTTGAGATTACTATTTCTTATATTTTAGGAGATAATTTTATCTTACATGTACATAAAAACGTGTAGAATCCATGTGAAAAGAAAAGAAAAGAAAAAGGCCCCACATGTATAAGAGAGAAAATTATCTCCTATAATATGAGAAACATTAATCTCTTATATTTTATAGAATTATTTATTTAATTTGATAGTATTAAACCTATGTATATATAGTATTTCATTTAACTTGATGGGCCACGCAAAACAATCTTTGGACATATTTAATCATTATACTTTCCTAAATTAATTATTAATTTGTTTATGAAAATCAAGGTCACCAAGACACGAAATCATTATAGTATAGCATTAGTCCAATTCATATATATTATTCTTTCGTTTTTTAAAATATATAGCTAGTGGTTTTGAAGCTTTGAATAATACTTGGGAGGTACAGGAAATATTCTTGGCAGGGTCAGAAACAACGAGCAGTACAATTGAATGGGCTTTGACGGAGCTGTTGTGCAACCGTGAGTGCATGATGAAGGTAAAAAAAGAGCTTGGTTCAGTGGTTGGGAGCGCAAGAGAATTTGAGGAGAGTGACATAGACAACCTTCCCTACCTACAATGTGTGGTTAAGGAAACATTTCGGATGCATCCTCCGATTCCACTTCTTGTCCCACGAAGGGCAATACAAGACACAGAGTTCATGGGATACGACATACCAAAAGACACGCAGGTTTTTGTGAATGCATGGGCTATTGGAAGAGACCCAGATGTTTGGGATGAACCCTTGGCCTTCAAGCCCGAGAGGTTTTTGGGTTCGGGGACTGAATACAAGGGACAACACTACGAGCTGATACCATTTGGGGCTGGAAGAAGAATGTGTGCTGGCGTGCCATTAGCACACAGAGTGCTTCACCTTGTGTTGGGATCGTTGCTTCACCGATTTGATTGGGAACTTGATAATCGTGTCACGCCATCAACCATGGACATGAAAGACAGGTTGGGCATAACCATGCGAAAGTTTGAACCCTTGCTTGCGGTCCCTAAATTAATTGGTTCTTAATATTCATGAATACATAGCTAGGATTGTGGACCGTGCTGCATTTGTAAGATTCCGGGAGAGATATATGTCTCCATAATATATATCGGGGTTCTATTTTGAGAATAAATAATAATAAAAAGTGTTTTGTACTTTTGTATTGAGCTATATAATAATCATATATTAGTGAATTCCATGCAAACATTCAAGCTTGGTTATACTCCTTGCAAATGAAAATTTTGTCTTCCAAGACCATACAAGAAACTTTCTTACAAGCATTTACCGAGCTTTAGAGAGAAAAAAAAATTGAAGGGCAAATGGTTTATCTTTTTTCCATAAGCAATTTAGCTTGGACATGAGAACTTCTAGAAAACAAGTTGAATTTAACATCTTCCATGCTGGTGAAGTTTGTGATCCAGTGTAGATAAGAAAAGCAATGTTCCACACAAATTGAAAATTCAGATGCAAAATTCACGTTAATTGTAACATGAAAATCAGGATTAGAATTAAATCATCTAATTTTTCAGAACATGCCATAACTAATGAAACATACTAATAATATTGAATCATGCATCCTTTAATTTATTTTCTAAGGGCCTAAAATTAAAAATTCTTAAATGATTGCACCCACAGCAAAACTAGCACCAATAGTTGGCTTTTTGACCATTGTGCCCCTAATTAAATTAAAAAATATCACTATGTCCCTGTTTTTAAACTATTTAAAAAATATGACATTTTCCCTAAACATAACACCAATATGCTCTTATATGACCGTTGACTGGCGCTCATATTTAAGTACGTAACCAACGTACTCGAGTAAATCAGGTATCATGAGTTGTTACTCGAGTATATGACCCTAATATCATGTATATTTGAGTATGATGAGTTTTTATAATAAAACTTCGGAAGACCATAACTTTTAGCTCGAGGGTTCGAATCGGGTATTTTTTTTATTTCACCTAACTTTTTGAGTTCTATGCGCTAGAAAATTCCCAAAGGATTATTTATTAGTGTTGGAAAGTAAAAATTTAAAAATAACATCATTCGCAAGGATAAAATATGCTAAACGGGGCACTAAGAAGCTTTTTTTGAGAATTTTTTTCGACCAACGGAGATTTACCAACGCATAGCTCTCGAAAAGTTATGCGAAGTAAAAAAATGCACATGATTCGAATACCCGAGTCAAAAGCTATGGTCTTCCGAAGTTTTACAGTAAAATTTTCCAAAATTTTTAATGCAAATAGGTCTTGTGATACCCAGAAAACCCCTCCTCAGGTCACTCGGGTCAAGTCCAATATTATGAGTATATGACCATAGAAACTTGTTTGATCCAAAAATCTTGTGAAAAAAAATTTATATGGCTGAATTCACTGATATAATCGATTACTTGGTCCAGCCATCAGTTCATTGATATAATTGATTATCGTATGCTGGTGTAACCGATTACTTGGTCCAGTCAATAGTCAGGAATTTGTGATATGAGAGTTTTATAAAAAAAAAAACCCAACTCTCGCAAGTAACTTGGGTTGAATATTCGAGTATTTTTCGTGATCTGAATTTTTATGAACAATTTTTTTTGGTAATGATTTTTTTATGAATATTTACTCGTGTACACATGTTCATAAAAATCCAGATCACAAACAATACTCGTGTATGTCACATGTGTACCCGAGTATTTACTGTTTCGCTCAATATACTCGAATATCAACCTCCTATATTTGAGTACATATCTCGGTTAACAATGAAACAGAAGCTGATTGGTGTTATGTTTTAGTACGAGTGCAAAGCGTTTATTTTAATTAAAGGCAAAAGGGTAAAAAACCACAATAGTCACTTAAATAACTATCAACGTCACATAAAAAAAAGTGTTAAGACATCTAATTTAGTTTTAAAAAAGTCATCATGCAGTAACGAGATCATTTTCTGTACATCTGTAGTAGGTACATTTGTCATTCAACAAGTGATACTTGAATAAAAAAATATTTTTCTCTACTTTCTGTACAAACATGACAGTCATTTCTCATTTTTTATTGAATAGATACACTAAGTGAATGATACAACAGTAGTACTATAAATATTTCGTGCAGTAATATGCAAGTGTAAGCGTAGATAATTTTTTTTCCCGAATGATAATTTTTTTGTGTGGTCACAATTCACTCTTATTGACAGATAATTGTTACATGTATTGCCTTATTATTTTATGTTTAAAACAATTTATAATTAAAATGTTATCAAAAAATCCTTAAGAAAACCTTAAGATTTAAGTTAAATTAATCATGATAAAAAAATACATTTAATTTTTGGATTTCCGAAGGAAATACTGTATTATATTTTTAAAATTATAAATCATATCTCAAAGATTAGATATTAAGTAATAAAAAATGGATTTATAAAAATCATAGAATAAGTAATAAAAATTAAGACCCATAAAGTTATAGATTTTTTATTACTTAATTTATAATTTTTATTATTCAACCTTTAATTTAAAGAAAATTAGTATAGTAATCTCTTTTTAGAAAGAGTAACGGAATGAACCCCTTAATTTTTATTTGAACAACCACTTAAGTCAAGACAGTGGTTACTGGTTAGATTAATAAAACAAGGCAGAATACAGAAAACCAACGCAGGGTTGGAAATGGAATATCCTAAAAAACCAAGTCCTCGCTCTTCGGATCCCTATCAGAATAAAGATGTTAGATAATTTTAAATCTCATGTCCTCAACCATGCATGTTACTCTATTTTAAAACTGTTAACTAGTTAGCAATATGGAAAAGATGTGTGTCGTTTTATAGGATATAAAGTTGTATCATTCTAAGAGAAAGATAAAAAAAGAGAGAGAGTTGATAAAAAAAATAAAAGTGTGAGTCTCACTTCTTAGTGAGAGTGAAAATATATAAGTTATGTCAATTAAAAGAATGAATATTTTTCCGAGCAATATTTGACTTGTATATAAAGTAGTTGTTACTGTCAGTATCTCTCTTATTTAGCAATATTCATCTCTCTAACAATTATTTTAATGCATAATTACTTTTTTAATTGGAGAGACAAGAGAAAATACAAAAGACTTGAATCCAATTACATGGGATCGTACATGTAGGATTATAAATTAATCGTGAAATAAGATAAATCTATTTTTAAAATTTTAAATTGATAAATGTTAAATTTATTGCAATATTATTATTGGCTTATATACGACAACTTTGTTGTTTTGACTTTGACATTTATATTAAATTTGACGTAAATAAAATAATTTTTTTTTAACTAATATTGATAAAATCGGACCAACCTGGGAACCGGTAAACCGGTCATATAACTGGTCCGGTTGAAGTAACGGACCGGCCATGCATTAGAACCAGTACGACCCGACCGGTTAACCGGTGACTGGCCCGGTCCAAAAAAAAAATTCCAATATTTTTTTCAAAAAAAAAAATTATAGACATATTTGAATATTTTTTTGCTTATTGACTTAAATAAATTATGTACCTACAATACTAATATTATCTCAATTATGCACTATGCAGAAAATTTTGATTTGATTTATAGTTAGAGATGTCATTTATTGAATCTGAAGTCCCGTATCACAATCATTATATTTTTGTTTGATCCTTTATTGGATAATAATATGTGATTTTTATTTTTTATATTAAAATATTTGAAATTTTTATCATTTTTTTTATAGATATTTGAGTATGTTTATAATTTTTTAATATAAATTATAGAATTACATATAATTATCGAGTCATGCGGTTAAACTAGTGACCTAGTACCTCAACCGGATCAATGACAAAGTGGATTTTAATAACATTGTTTTTAACTATTGATTTCACCACCGAAAAGACTTGCAAAAAGAAGCCTCGAACTTATTCTATTAAGTTCACCTAGTGTCGGGAGCTTTTACGCAAGAAAACTAAAGACTGAAAAGAAGAAGAAAAAAAATTATGGGTTCACATATCAACAACCAACCAGACCAATGGCTGATGGTTTTAATGCATAAATTATGATTCTATGTAAAAGAATTCTAAAGTCTTCAAATCAACCTACCAACCATGTGACTGAAATTTGGTGAACAAGACGGCCACTATTAGTACAAATACAGATACAAAAGAAAGAAACTGCAATATGCTTCTAAGTTTCAAAAAGTTCAGCAAGATGTTGGGTTTTCTTCACAAAAGGATTTTTTTTTTTATATTAACAAATGAGGTACTATAACATTGTGTCTGGGAAGGAAAATAGTAGACTAAAGTGATGCAAGAAATATAACATACCGAAACTACATAGGAATAACGCCACAAAGCAAGTAATAATCTAACAAACTAAACTGAATATGTAACACCAATAATTGCTGAACTGAACAATTCAGATGATATTCACGCCTTATTGGAATATTAAATTGATATTTAAAAGAAAAAGTATATACTTACAATCTATTTTGATTTACGACCTCTTATTATTATATTTTAAACGTTGATTTTCGTCAATCAACAGTTATTATTTATTGCGAATTAATAATTAATTAATGAGTTTGATTTGCGAAAATAATAACCGTTGATTGACAGAAATCAACAGTTAAAATATAGTTGTAAGAGGTTGTAAACGAAAATAGATTGTAATTATAACCTTTATTTATTTAAAAATAGAAATATTCATAGATCAAACTAATTTGTCAACCAATAAATATGAAAACAATCAATTACCCCAAAAAGCAGTGTGCAAAATTTGAGAAGAGCAACAGCAGCCCATGCCTAAAATTTCTCAACCAAGTGAATTGTGACTAATGCCACCTAATTTCCCAGTGTCCATAAAGCTTTTGAATGAGGGAAATCAATGAAAGAAGAGAACAAATTGCATCTCAAGTTCTCAACTCCTCGATCTTCATATCCACCATCAACTCCAAGCCTGATAAGATAATTATAAAATTGAACGCATTATTAACCATAATTGGTAAATTTTGGGGTACAAGGTTTCTCGACTTTGCAAGAATAGAGGAATAGTTAATTGTATGCGGTCTTATTCTTATATTTTTGCCAAAGAAATTATTTTCCAAACACGAACATGTAACCTTATGGTATAAAGGAACAACCTTACCATTGCATCAAAAGAATAACCTTACCTTTACTTCAAGACTTGGCATTATTGACCATGCCATTAACAATAACAAAGAAAAAAAAAATTGAAAAACAGATGGGATAGCTCCTATGTCTTGTCCACTTATATGTAGATTACACAAGAAGCCAAGAAACAGCTGTAAAAAAGTTGATGTATAAGGAAATTTCCCAATACAAAGCTTCCACGAAAAGATGCCATCAAATAAGCACAATCAGTTTCTATTTCTCACATTAGAGATTCAAATATGATTGCATATATAGATCAAATTTATTCAACAATCCGAAAACAATTTTTATTTTTTATTTTGATTATGTGATGCTATTCCACCTCAGCTCTATTAATAGGTCCTCTTTTCTTCCGCTTCCTGATTCCAGCCCCTTATATGACATACATAACTTTAATTTCACAAATCCATACCTCACTGTAATTCTCACATTAGAAATTCAAATATAATAGCATATATTGATGAATTTTTTTTTTTTTTTGAATACACATTGATGAAATTTATTCAACAATCGGAAAACAAATTAATAAGTATATGAGCAGTTGCAAAGCTCTGCTTATTTTGTTTTTGAGATGTTATTCCATCTCAGCCCAATTACTAGGTCTTCTTTTCATCCTCTTCCTGTTTCCAGCCCCATATATAACATACCAAACTTTAATTCCAAAAACCATTACCTAATCTTCCCTTGAATTTTCCCTTACAACTCAATTAATGTTCATAGATCCTGCACAACACCCTGATACAGAACCCATTTCTTCTTTGTTTAACTCCATCAATGCTATCTCTATAAAGCACGAGTCCCCATAACCAGTCAGTTAGAGAAAATGTGTTTTATCTTTATATCAGATCTCCTACAAAAAGCGTTATACTCAAGCTCTTCCCAGTACACCAAAAATAAATATTTATATCAGAAAAGACACGGCTACTTTCGTTCAGTTTATCTCAACATACACACAATTTTTTCTCAAATAACTCTCATCATCACCATCTATCTACTTTTCATTCTTTCTCTTTTTCTTCTTTTTTATTCACCATAAATGGCACACCTTCATTTATGTTTTGTGTCTTGCACCTTGTGTGCTAAGTATCATTTACAATTCAAATAAGTATATTAAATGCATAATTCAGTTGGCCAAAGCTCACATTGCTCTCAGTAAGACTGTCAAAAATATTGAACATCTTAATTTGATAGTGAGGCCTTTTTTAATAGTTTCTCTTAAAAGTTTTCTTTGGTCTACCACTACCCCATTGAACTGTACTATCTTTCATTTGATCTATTTTTTTCACTAGAGCCAATATTGGTCTTCTTCTCACATGACCAAACCACCTTAAGCGTGTTTATGTCATCTTAAATACAGATGTTAATCGTGCCTTAAAAATTCCAATAAAGAAAAACAGAGAAACCCTCCAAAAGAAAATACTAAATACCGCAAAAAAAGAAAAGAAGGGGTGACCCAATTATGAAGCAAGGCTTTCCAATCTCCAAACAAAGTACACAATAATCAATCTGAGGTATCAACACCTTGGAAAGAGCCATAAGAAAAACACCAAAAAGAATCTGAGAACATAACTCTATCCTATATCAAATTTGGGGGCAAAATCTCCTAGAAGGTATGAGCTTCGCTGGTTTTTACCAAAATGTTTATATCAAACCATAAAAACTGCTCCAGAGGAGAGGGCACAACCAATCTTTCCAATTATCCCTAAATGGTTGTTCCAAAGGGAAGTGTCCACTTTACAGTGCAAGAACGAGTGGCCTATACATAGAATGTATAAAGGTCCAAATGAATGCATGAGTTAAAACACTAATATCAAATAAAGATCAATTTACCTTCCAAGCTAACCAAGAAGAACAATGATAGCAACGGCAAAGTTCTCCATTTGCATCCACATAAGTATAAGCTTTTCCCCAACGAGACATCTTTCTCTTCTTGCGGACCCCGGTCACTCTTTGCCTAAAAATTGTCTTTGTGATTAGTAACAATCTCAATTCCTCCTTCAACGAATTTGTCCATTTTGCTATACAACAAACCACGTAAATCAGAGAGTTTATCTAACACATGCATGTTTAACTTCTTACCCTTAGAAGACAAATTTGCACGTAACTGATCTGTCAGATGGTATTTATATCTCTAATAGCTTCAACATGCTCGGTCTTGCATTGAAGTTTTCTTGAGCCAATTTTGTTGATGTAGTAACTTGAAAAGCACCCCTTTCCTGTGATCCCACCAACTGTGCATAAAAAAAAATGCTATACTGCAATTTACCTGTTGTTTAGAATCAATAATCAACATTGTTTCCTCCAGATAGAGCAAGAAGTGGAGGATTACATGCACCCATACTTGTGCTGAAAGGCTTCACAAATTCATTTTCAACTTGGCCGTGCATGAGACATCTAGATTGCAGAATTGTGTTTTGACATTCAATTGTGCGTGTTTGACGTATTCTGGGACTGGGACTGCGACTGCAATTTAATCATCCTGCCAAGAAAAATTGAGCAAACATATGTACAGGTAAGATATACATGAAAACAAAGAAATATTCAAAATAATTATAAAATTCTAACCTTAAACCAAATCTGCTACAATATCTCTTTTACACATATCATCTTTATCCAATGAATCATAGAAAATTAAAATATACACGCCTAGACACACACACATATAATGATGTTCCATTAAAGAAAGAGAAGCAAGGATAGAGAAAAAGATCTGATTTAGGAAAGTTGCATCAACACATGGATGCTTTACATTTGCAGGAGCATTTGCAGCATCTATCTTTACTTCAAAGAATAGACAATAGACACCATTCAAAGCAGTTTCAATCCGCAGATAAGTTGGGAATGACCCTTGTGCACAAACTTACTAATTATTGAGAGTAAACTAACTTGGTTAACAGCTTAACTAAGTATAACCACTGCAACCAACTCTTAGAAACGATAAGAAACTTGTAATTGTAATACTAATTTAATTTGATTTCTTTCAGCAGTTATTTCTTGATCATCTATTGGAATCGTATAAATTTGTTTAGAAGAAAATTTATCCCTTAATCACACAGTATGGATTATTTTAACCCCCACAAGTATTATTGTGTTTATCCTATTTTTGTGCTGTGATAAAAAGAAAATTACACTGATTAATTAGGCAAAATTATGAAAAATGAAGCTTAAGTTAATAAGGGATGAGAGTTTTACTTAAAAAGGCATCAATCAGTGGCAGGATCTAACTTGTCCCTAGATATGAAAATAGGCAACTACTCTAAAAAAAAAAAAAAAAAAACCTGGTAACTCCAGAATTCTTTCTACACAAAGGAATAAGAAAAGTGAAATGCTATGCTTAAGGAGGATAAATAATGCAGAAGTTTTCTTTCGATTAAAGTCGAGTAACATTGCAATTGAATGTTATTTGTTTTACAAAAAAATGCATCACTTGAAACACTCCTCTAGGACAATTAACTATAAAGTAATATTCATTAATTCTGCAAATGAAGAAAATGTACAATGTGAGTACCTTAAACTAAATTGATTCATCCAAACATAACCTAAGGATTTAATCAACCTACTAATATTAAAAGCACTATTTTGGCAAAGCCTTTCATTTTAAAACAATAGCTATACAACGCTGATGGCATTCAACCTCTGGACATTGGAAACATCATAGTCTATAAAAATTTATTGTACAGTCCATTCTTTCTTAAACTAACATCGTTAAAAGATCTAGTGCAAGCAAACTCCAGTGTATCTCTTATGCCAACTTTTCTATCAATCCTGCATACATAGTTAAGACCTACAAGAAGATCGATCATTGCAGCTTCAGTTTTTGCTTGATTTGCAAAGTAAAGAGTCTGGACGAGTAAAATATTTGACTTCAAAGTTGTAAGCTCCTTCTCAAAATTTCTCTCAGAATGCCACCTTATCATGTTATGTGCAAGTGGAGCCAACCATTCCAATATCTGTGCGAGTACCAGACTCCATTCTTTTGCAAGGTTTGCATCATAGATGGAGTAAGATTTACTTTTCGCATACCACTTAAGCTTAGACCTCAGAACAGCTCTTATAGAAGTCGGAAGCATACTGTACAGATCATCTCTTGATTCAAGATCAATCAGGTGAGGTGATGACACCATCCTCTCGATCAACACAATCATATTTGCATAGTGTAGGGCTAAAGCTGCATCACCAAGGGTAAGTGATGTTGGCTTTAACCGATTGTTGATGGATAATTTAGAATATATTCTCATCCTGTTGGAGAGAGATAATTTATCCACTGTTTTCATTTTATCAATATATTTCAAATGACAATCATTCAACCTCATAGACCCACCATTTGTCTGCACACAGCTCTGTATGACAGGAGAATTGTTTGCAACAGACATGCAACCTATAAAGGCCCCAATATGTCCAAACTGCTTGCTTTCTGAATGCAGACGATTTCCACATATAACTGGTGGATGAAGAGCCTGCTGCTTTTTCTTATTTCTTTTGCTCTTGTCAACTAAAAAGCCTGAGTTTGATATTGGCCTCCTCCCAACAGTTCCTGAATTGAATCCATAGAGATCATTCTCAGAAGGATGAACAGAATAATGCATAAGAGCAGAAAAGGAATGACTGCGCAGAAGATTATCAGCATTCATATGCTGAGAATCATTTTGTTGCTGTAAAGTTGGTAGGTGAATATTTCCAAAGACAAGTATGATCCTCTCCAGTATTGTAATCAGTGATCTTGCCAACAACCGGACAACATAATCATAACTTCTATTCCAGGGAGACAAATCTCTCAGATTTCTCACTTCCTGTCGATGCGACACGACCTTCTTCTGAAACTCGAGCAATTTCACCCGATGCAATTCAGGATTTGCCTGCATTCTCCTGAAAGTCTGTTCAACCTCTGCCAGTACCTCAAGCTCTTGGCAAAATTGAGTCATAGCGGCAGCAAACTTTTCCATTTTCTTAACTTTCCTCTCCATCCTTTTCCATTTATATTCCCACCCAGACCACTGTAAATAATTTTGAGCCGGGTTACCAACAAAATGATCAAAACGATGATAGACTGGATCCATGCACCTCTTACCCAACCTGGCCACAGACCGTGCAAGGGATTGAAAGTTATCAAGTATCTCATTCAATGCAAGTTCCATTAAGTAATCATCATCGTCAGCCACCAGCATTTTGACCCCAACTGAGTTCACTATCCCTTCCCTCAGATTCAATACCTCCCCATCACTCAAAGACTGCCATAAATTAACCACCTTCAACATCAAGCCCGCAACTTCTAATCCCAAAACTCCAACTGCTGCCTTGTTATCTGATGCACTCTTGCGGGAGATGGGCCACAAAGCACTGAACCATGATCCATTCACCGTTTCACCTCCCATTGATATCTCCTAATCAATAATCCTAATAAACACTCAGCATCCTGTACGCAATCAAATCCACTGATACAACTTAGAAAGTCAAAAACCCACAAGACCATGAACACACCCGACAGATATAGAGCATGGATTAAGATAGTAAAATTGCATTAAAATGATAAACGAACAAAGAGAAAAAAAACCCTAACCCCCCAATAGTTTATTTGGTCACGGATAAGCAAAAAAAGACGAGGAGGTCAATATAGATTAATTTAAACTCACTCAAGGGGAGACTTGCACTAGCACTTTCACGGGACCAAAACCCATTTTTCAAAATTCAAAATTTTTTGTCGTCATTCACCAAGTTTCAAAAACTAACCAAAAGCGAGAATAGCAGCTACAGCCAAAGTACCAAAACTCAACTAAAGCAAGTAAGATGCAAAACAAAACATCGTAGAGAGAGAGCAAAACACATACCCTGGAGTGGCATTAAGTTGAAGGAGAAGAAATTGAAGGGTGGAGAGAGAGAGGACAATAGTAGAGCGTCCCCTGAGTCACACGGCTGAAACGAGAGAGAGAGAGAGAGAGAATATTCGGTGAAAACGAGGAATATGGGGTTCTGGGGAACGTGGATATTACGTTGACAGTTCAGTGGTTGATTGGGTTTGGTAATTGCTCCTTCTTTTTAGTGTGTTTGGTGCCGGATGCGGAAATGACATTGTTGCTGTTTGGCCTGGTAAGCGTTTGGATTTCAGCTATTTGCTTCGTGCAACAGTGACCAAAGTGTGGCGAAAAAAATTATCAAAATGTCACGACTAACACTAAATTTTGTCAAAATGTCACATGGCATATTTTGCTATACTGTGTAGCGAAATATGTGTGCAAATAATTCGCTACACAGTGTAGCGAAATATGCCACGTCAGACTGCTCAGAACCAAAAATGTCATGTGTCAAATTGAAGAAATTCGCTACATAGAGTAGTCAATTTCTATAATTTTGACACGTGGCATTTTTGGTTCTGACGTGGCATAATTCGCTACACTGTGTAGCGAATTATTTGCACACATATTTCGCTACACAGTGTAGCGAAATATGACACGTGACATTTTGGCAAAATTTACTGTTGACGTGACAGTATGATAATTTTTTTGGCCAACAGTGACAAAATGGTCGGTGTTCCTTTCTTCGTCAACAATTAAGAGTTTTTATTCTTTTAAGGCCAATTCTAGACAATTGCGTTGGTGGGACCAAATGGGTTCGGGTGGGTTGTAGTTGGTATGGCTGCGCTTCTTTTTTTGTTTCTTTAACTTCTCCGTCCTCTGATCATGCCTTTTGATTGGGGTAGTTTTTTGGTTTTAGTGTTTGCATTTTGCAACATTGCAAGGCATTTGGGGGGCATGCTTTCATGGACATTTTCATCACTCAATATATATATAAAAATGTAAAAGGGTACAATAATTTGGACTTATATGCTCGTTATAAGTCATTGTATGTTTGTGTAAAGTTGTAAGTGGATTAATTTCGGCTTATTCTAAATAGTAAATATTACCGAGAATATTTTTATAGACCAGGCAATTGGAGGCAACGCTGGTATTTACGTCTCCCTTGACAGCACAGAATCCAATTAGGAAATAGGAATAGGTTCTCCCAATGTGATTCCAATAAAATTTCCGAGCAGTGACACAAATAATAAAAACAGATTTGATGATTCAAAAGCAGTTCCAGTTCAATGACCAAACAAACGGGTAGATTTGCGAAGAAAAATCCAAGGGCCAAGTCCTTGAACTTTTATCGAAATTCCACCAAATCTTTTATATTTTTTTCAAGTGTATGTCAGGGTTAAATTTCACATTTCTAAATTCTAATCACCCTTTAAAAATTTTGAGCTACACTATTCTAATGTGATATAAGGCTTCTTGTATGAACGTACGGTTAGAGTATTGGGGCCGTTTGGTACGCGTTATTCTTCAGATTCTCGGGAAACTGAATTTTTCTAAATTTTTAATTTTAAGATATTATCGTAAACTGAATGTAAAAATTATATTTTTGAAAATCGAGATTCCCGAACAATTTTTTTTTCTCCTGTACCAAACGCTCCCGAGACTCTCTATACTGACAATACTTTTAGTGTTATGGATGCACCAAATTTTCTATGCATCTTTCACTCACAATATAATATATATTTTATTTTTGTGAAATTATTAATAAATAATTATTTTAAAATCAAGTAAGAGAATAATTTGATAAAAAATAAGATACATGTCATGATTGAAAAATATACCGAAAACTTAATATATTGGTAGCACCAAAAAAAAATTCAATTAAAAAAAATTTCCATTAAAAAGTAAGACACATGTCATATATATATATATATATATATTGGTTACTTTTTATTTTTCGGCAACTGACTTGGCTCATCTATCATATATTAAAGAAGAGAAGAGTATTATTTAAGACAAAATAAAAATAAAAATATGAATCTCACTTGTCTATATCTATAAAATGACATATATTTTTCCTCCAAAACACATCCGAAAGAGCGCATTAAACTCGGCTCATTAAAGATAGAATACGTTTGTGATTGACGGCAACGTGTATAAATGTAGCTTCTATCTTCATGGTTGAAATGTGCTTTTGGTGCTTTGGGAAGCAGATCAATCCCACTGCTAGCCCTGGTCCTTTATAATACAGCCGAAGATTGTCACATTATCGAACAGAAACGTAAATCTCCATTCACAATGAATACACATAATTTAATTAATTCACTTTTTAGGTTTGGTAAGAGACGAAGTTTTTCATGTTGAGATTAGAAGATTTATAAAAATATTTTATCCTACTTAACTTCAAGTAACTGTCATAATTAAAATTCAAACCCCATGTGCATTCTTATATCTCACATTTATGAGGTAGGATATTCATACTACTAAATTTTTCTACTACCACTCCACTACTACTCTAATCATCATTGAATTCAAAAGTTGTTTTTTTTTTTCTCTCTCTTCATTCAACTTTTCCTCTAATCCAATGGTGATTAGACTGGTAGTGAGAGGGTAGTGAAAAAATTTGGTAGTATGAATATCCTACCCCCACATTTATTTACTACAAAACTAACTTTCTAGGTTTGCAGTGCATGTTTATATTTTCTAAGTCTGACTTATCTAAATATAAAAAAAGTAAATCAATTTGATTACAAGGTATAGACATTAAAATATAATGGAAGAAAGGATTGCTGGTATGATGCCCCTGCTGATGAGGACGGAGAAGACCGCGTTATTTGGGACGCTTCAAATGATGGGGCCTTTTTAGTCAAATCGGCTTACAGGGTTCTAAATTCTACTCCCATTTCTGAACATAGGAAGAAGTGGTCTTTGGCTTGGGACCGGGAGGGTCCTCAACGAATTAGGAACTTCCTCTGGCTCCTTATTGGTGACAAGTTACTCACTAATGAAACTAGATGTAAAAGACACATGGGGAGGATAGTTGTTGTCGCCGTTGTCAATTCCCTGTTGAAGATGGTCTACATATATTCAGAAATTGCCCGTGGGCTAGAGCTCTCTGGTTGAGAATGGTTGACAATAGCATTAGGCCCCAGTTCTTTAATCTTAATTTTATGGATTGGTTGGAAGATAATCTGAGTAGGAGGAAAGGCAGGCACATCCAAGATCGGTGGAATTCCCATGATTATGTCATAGCTCGAGCGAAGTCCCTCACTATGAGCATTGGGCTGGCAGAGCAAACTTTAGCCACCGCAGGGATTCGTCCTAGCTGGAAGCAGGAAATTTTTATCAGATGGATCTTCCCTCCTGATAGTTGGGTCAAGCTGAATACGGATGGGGCCTGCAAATGGAACACCAGGAAGATGGGCTGTGGAGGAGTCATTATGGACTGTGCTAGCCATTGGATCGTGGGATTCTCCAGGAATCTGGGTAAAGAAAATTCTTTGATTGCTGAATTATGGGGTACTCTTATTGGACTTGAATTAGCTTTGAGTCAAAGCTTCAAGTTTGTTATTATGGGAGGGGATTCTTCTACCATGATCAATCTACTGAATGGGTGATGTGAGCCTCACAAACCTTGTTTCAACCTGGTCTTCAAAATCCAGAGCCTTATCAATCGTCCTTGGAGCTAAGGGTGTTCATCAACCGATCCAAACCGATTCAAACCGCGGTAACCGAACCGAATAAACCGAAAACCAAAAAATCGAGAACCGAATAAAAACCGCAAATTTTAATTAGATTGGATCGGTTTTCGGATGGGTTGATGAAAACCGATCCAATCCAAACCGATCCAATATATTAATTTCCCTCTACCTACTTGTGTCTTTCCTCCCATCATAGCACAAATTTTTTTAAACCCAAGACCTATTAACCCAAGAAAAAACCTAGTCACATCTCATCAACAAAAATTGATTTGTGTAAAGCTTCATATTTCATTGCTAAAAAAAAAATCTATATTATCATTTACTTTTCTGTTTAATTTTTTTTTTACAAAGCCTATTATACAAAAATATATTATTTGCATAATAACCATAAAACAAATTTTAAGATTTTCAAAAAACCAAAAACCGATCCAATCCAAACCGAAAAAAATTGGATTGGATCAGATCGGATTTGAAAAAAAATCCAAACCGAATGGATGATGACATGATCAAACCGAAGAGATTGGATCGGATGATTTTTGCTTCCAAAACCGATTCAATCCAGACAGCGAACACCCCTACTTGGAGCGTTGTCATCTCCCACTCCTTCAGGGAGAGCAACTCAGTTGCTGACTGGATGGCCAACAGCTCCCTAGCTCAAGACTAGAGCATTAGACCCTCCTCAGGGATGTGCCTCTTTGGTTCACAATGATTGTATGGGTGTTTCTACACCCAGACTTGTAAACTTGTAGTCTGTTTTATTTCCCGTGATATTTCAAATATATATATATATATATATACATACAGTAATACCATTTGGGATATGTATTAAATTTAGCGTAATAATTCTACTTGTATTAACTTCCATATTTCAACACAAGTCCACATGTTTAAATAACACAAGCCAAAACAATTGCACGAACAACAACGATGCAAGAAATCAACTCAAAGCAAAACAACACAATTTTAACGTCAAAAACCTCTGACAAACAAATCTGCCATTGGATACGAAGAGCAATGAGTTAGGAATATGCTAAAAAAGTTCCAGCTCAATCCAACCGTGGAAGGAGATATTAAAGATGGAAGAAAATTGTTGTTTCCCTTTCTTTTCTTGTGTTTTTCCTCAAAATGGCAGCTCTTTTATCTGCAAATGGCTGCTACAAGGGTGCATAAGTGCTATACAGCATAGACACGCAAAAAAATGGAAAGAAGTGTGTCGGGAATATGCTAAAAAAGTTCCAGCTCAATCCAACCGTGGAAGGAGATACTAAAGATGGAAGAAAATTGATGTTTCCCTTTCTTTTCTTGTGTTTTTCCTCAAAATGGCAGCTCTTTTATCTGCAAATGGCTGCTACAAGGGTGCATAAGGGCTATACAGCACAGACACGCAAAAAAATGGAAAGAAGTGTGTCGGACACCGATACGCTCCGACACGTTCCGGCACGCATCCGACACGCGGTCAACGCTTCGATACGTTTTTTCGATACGCAGTCAACTATTTTTGACACGCGGTCAACGTTTCGACACGCATCCGACATGTTTTTTTTTTTTTTTTAGAACTAAATTTTATTTTTTTTAACTAAACATCAAAAAAACA